TATGCACTCACCTGGCCTCACTAGTCAATTCCAATCTCTTATCTTTCCCTTGATCGATCTTACTTGCCAAACGTTCCAGAATTTCTTTATGCGTAGAATCTTATACCAGGCTTCACGGTTGAGAGGAGGAAGAAGATGACTGAAGAATGCTCTGGACTTTTCTTCCTACGTGCTTATTACCCTTTATAAAGGGAAATAAAAATCTTCCCTGAAAAATTACCATAGTACCCTTAATATTTCCAAACTTAATCATTAAATCCAACATCAACTTTCTTCAATTAAATCCATGAACTTTTAACTTATTTCGAAATCGAGCACCTAGTTTACAAAATTTGCAATTTAGTCACTGACCCTGATTTGGGATGTTACAATATCTGCCCCCCAACTTGCATTAGCAAAACCTGTCAAAGAAAGTCTGGACGACCTCAAGAAACGCAGACCAAAGTCAATTGTCCCTTGTAAGTATCGCAAGATACGCTTCACAGCCTGAAAATGAGTGTCAAGAGGAGCTGGCCTCCATCCTTCATTATTTCTATTGCCAGAATCAATACCTGTAAAGTTTCTATCAAAATAATAGAAACATTTGTGCACTATGTGACCATATTTGCCATAAAGCTGACATTTAGGATGATTTGAATTATCAAATCGACCTTGTCCACGACCACTAGAATGACCACGCACAACACCATCTTATTTTGACACAACAGTGATTTTAGAAGGCTTCAATTCATGCACCTTATTTCATTATGTAGATCTAGAAACTAGATTTGTTGAAATTCCTTCAGTAAGAAATGCTTTATGACGAGATTCACAGTCAAGTAGCATTTCAGTAAGTACATCTAAAGAGATATTATCACGAGATGCAATTGCAATAACCGATTCAAACTCCATGGACAGACCAGCAAGAATAACACTGACTTACTCATGTTCAGTAATCGGACTGCCTGCAGCACATAGCATATCACAAATGGACTTGACTTTGGCCAAAAACTCATTCACCGTTTGGCCAGCTTTTCGTTGCGAATGAAGACTGTGTCGAAGTGATGACACATTGGCACTTGATCGAGCACCAAATAATCGTGAAATAGTGGTCCAAATGGAACTAGCAGAAGTAAGACCAGTGAGATGTGGTAAGACCTCAGTACTGACAGTGGTAAGCAACCATGATGCCAACAGCTTATCCTGTTGTTGATAGAGATTGAACGCTGAACTATACTCAGCTCGTCCAGAATCCACCGTTGTAACTGCCACAGGAGGCCCGCCTTCATCCGAAATAAATCGGAGTAAGCCATAACCATCTATGATAAGGGATACATGATGTTTCCACAGCAGGTAAGTGCTCTCAGAAAGCTTGACCACATCCTGCTTGGGAATATGCTGAACTGAAGAGATCTCCATTGTAGACAACCACACGTAGCAAGAACTGAACAAAGAAAAGGCTACCAGCCCTGGCGACTGATACCATGTTAAAGTGTCAACACAGCTTAGGAATCAACACACATAAAAACCATGAATTATTACTTTCATTCATTTGTAAAACCTTGCCCTTCTATAGCAATAGCCTCAGGCTATTTATACAACATATCAAGAAATATAAAATGAGAGGGAAAGAACATTAGGACGTTAGAGGAGAGAGAGAGTTTGTTAAGACAACTCTAACCACCTCACGTACATTGCACATGCATGATCATACGTATAACTAATCCATGCATTCATCTTCTTCCTCACCACTCGATGCTTCACCAATAATCTTATTAAGACGCCATTGATTAATATTGAAGCTGATTCATTAACATGTTGGCTTTATTCAATCTTCCATGCATAAAGAAACAATGCATGCCTTAACCCAGGACTGAAAAGCCAGTCATGAACATCCCAGTAAACTTCAACTCTTGTCTTGCTCACTTGAAAACTTCCGTTCCCTCTGAACTTCCATTGAAGATGCTTCACGTGAAGCACCAATCGGTCGTCGATTCTCATCTCCATTTCTGGCTCGATGTTCTTGTTCTTACATTCGATCGATATCTCATGGAACATAGTTTCCTCATCGTCGAGTTTGATCCTCGAGCTGAATCTCCTTCTCCCGAATACATGTTCTTTTCTCGAAACTAAAACGGGGTCCGTAAGTGCAGGCCTGTAATCGGTTCTTTTATAAACGTCATTCTTTAGATCTCCGACGAGTAAAACAACTTCTCCGTCGTACACGATGGTGACGTAGTATTCGGAACAGGGTTCAGTTTCGCCGTTAAATTTGGTTACTTTAAGGTCTCAGAAGACGTTTACAACTTTATCGCCATCGATGATGAAGTGTCTGGAGCCTTGCTTTCTCCAGAAGTACCATTGTTTGAGCTCGATTTTTTCAGGTATATAGTTATTGATTATCTCCCTCGGGGTTAGAGACTGATACCGATAGGCCATTGAGAAGAAGATTCTTGCACCATGTGACGGTTATCAGACGGTATTGGTCGGCTATCTTTGTCCAGAAAACTGACATGAAGATACTCTGGCCGGACCTGGTCACTGCTGTTGGATCACAAGCGAGAACCCACCCGACAAGCTCTTGTTCCATGGTTGCTTGCAAGAACAAGATGTGGGAGAGACTGAGAGAGACGATGAGAGAATTTTTGGGAGTGATTGAATGATTGAAGAAGAAAGGTTTTTTATATTGGAAAGGTTTTTTATATTGGTTTTCTCTACTTCTTTGTTTTTCTTACTTTGGATCTAAAGGTTCATGCAAGGTTAGAGACTTATCTTTGAATATATATTGTCTTGTATTTACCTTAGATTAATAAAAAAAAAGATAGGTTAAAGTACGTAAATGATCTCTCGATAATAGGATATTACTTTATTAAGTCTCTCGACTATTAAAAATTTCAAAATGGTCCTTCGACTATAGAATGTTGCTTTATTAAGTCCATTGACTATTAAAAGTTACAAAATTGTCACTTGACTCTTCATTTGGTTCCAAATTCGTCATTTTTTGTTAAAAAAATTGACAACTATTTAAATTGGACGTTAACATGATGACTAGGATATGATGATCGTTTTATCATATCACAATTAACAAATTAACATTCAACTCAAAATATCATCTATTTTCTAAAGGAAAAGAACAAGTTTAGAACATAATGAATAATCGAGTGACCATTTTGTATCTTTTAATAGTTGAGGGACTCGACAAAGAAACACTCTATAGTTAGAGGACCATTTATAACTTTTAATAATCGATGGACTAAATAAAACAATACTCTATAATCGAGAAATCATTTGTATACTTTATCCTAAAAAATATCTTATAAATAGACACACACAATATATATATTGTAAATCGTTAATACTAGTTTTAATTTTATTCTATGTTTGAATTGTATAAAAAATACAGTAAATTATGTATTTACTTATATATCTATTTTTATAATTCCGTTTTGGTCATTAAAGTATTTTTTTAAGTTTTTGGGTTATTTTTGTCATTTTAGTAGACATAATTTATCATTTTTGATCTTATGGTATTTTTAGATCAATTTAACCCTCGAAGTTGTTTAACCGCATGATCCTAAACTTAGACCCTAAGTTACAACCCTAAATAATAGTAAATATTTTAAATATTAATGCAATTAAATAACTTTGATGGCTAAATTGATGAGAAAATATCATATGGGCAAAAATGGTAAATCAAGTTTACTATAAGGATAAAAGTAGCCCTTAAGACTTTTTTAAATTATATTTGATGTCACGCTTTGATCACCCGTCATTAAAAAATCAATTTTGATATTAACGTATCACCATAAGGTAATGTTACGCCATCATTGAAAAAACGCATACATTAATTTTATACTCTTTCACTATCCTCGTACTTAGAAATAAACACATACATTAATATTATTTTATTTAAGGCTTAATATGAAAAATAAGTGTCTAAATTATACTTAAAATTATTTTTTTTGTGTTTAAAATTTTTCATTAAAAATAGGTTCATAATATTTTCTTCGTTACATTTTAGGTGTCCACTATTAAAAAAATCGTTAAATGACACTTATCACGTTTACATTTTCTGAATTTTTTATTTTTTAAAAAATAAAAATATTTTTTCAAGAAATTTTTTTTAGAAAATCCCCCACGTCAGGATCTACCACCCGTTGTTTTCCCTTCCTCGTCTCCTACTTTCTCTCCCTCCCATCTCTCCTTCGAGTTCCCCACTTTGATGACAGACGGAAAAATCTCGACGACAAATGGATGAAGAATCGCCAAAATCATCGACGACAAAAGGAATCATGGAATGACTGCAATCATTGCTTGAATAATGGGAGTTCGACCGTTGGGTTTTTGGGTTGTCTAGAGCTATCGAGATTTTGATCAATTGATGACTGTTGTGACGACCAATAGTAATAAGGAGATTGAAATTAGAATTTTTCAGAATTTTAGGTTTTTTTTTTATAATTTCAATTTTTTGGGTTTTTTTTATTATAAAATAATACTTTTAAGTGTTTTTTTAATTTTTTTTGAACTTTTATATGACTGACACATCAAATAACGATCAAATTCAACGTCGATTATGATTTAAACACCTAAAAATATAACAAAGAAAACTTTAGACACCTATGTTTAATTAAAAGTCCTTTAGACACCAAAAATAAATTTTAAGTATAGTTTAAATACTTATTTTTATATTAAACCTTTATTTAATTTTATTTGTTTATTTACCAAACATGATTGTAAATATATAAAGTTCATTGACGTTAAAACATGTATGTAAATATTTAAGTGAACATGATCGTGGACGTTAAACAAATTAAGCCAAAGCACATCAAACTTAAATAAATTGAATTTTAAACATGATATTAAAAATTTAAACGAATATGAATCGAGCATGAACAATTTCAAATCAATGTTATTATTGATTAAACACTAGACATTGTCCTTAAAGTTAGTAGGAACATCCCTTCTAAGATGTATAAGGTGTATAAGGTTAAGGTTATCTTTTTAGTTTTCCGCTTTCCACTGTTCGACATTGATCTTCGGATTCAATGTTAGTTACGAGAGAGTTTTTAACGAGGCTCACTTATTTCCAAAAAAAAATATTTTCGAAAAAAAACTCACTTATTCAAGTTCCATGTAGGAGCCTGGTATGCCAGATGCCCATTTAGCAGCTTGCATAATCTGGAATCTTCATCTTACATGTAGCCAAAACCTTATCCCAGGTTTCCATGGATACTTCTTTCAGAAGTTCTGATATGGCTAATTTGTGCTTCTTCAGCTCGTCGACCTCCGTTTGCTGCTTTAACAGCAGAGACTCGAGTCGCTTTGCTATTACCTTCACCTCTGATTCAGCATCCTTTAATGGCTTACAGTTCTCTTTCGACGAATGTGTTGTATCGGAACCACCATCTTTTCGATGACCATCATCGTCGCTGCCACTGTGATGTGTGAACTCGTTATCGGGTCGTTGAAATGAAGTATTGCTGCCTATTTTACCTTCGCTTCCATATCTATCATGAGATTGTTCATCAAGTTCAACCATGATATCTGCAGACCTTACGAAATCCACTCGAAAAGCAACGTTTGAACCGGTTTTGGCCAGAGAGTTTCCACGAGCTGCCTTGGGTGGATCAGACCAGAATCTTCGACCAGACGGAAATCTCTCCTGTGAAAGACCGCCCGGAGATGAGGACAGCTCATAAGCCAATGGAGATCCATCACCCTGATCAGAATTCACAATTTCTACCAAACTAACACTAGGAGTTTCTTTTGGAACCCAATCGGGAATATGAGACCGGATTTCCGATTCAATCATTTCGGAAATTGTTGAAACATCTTGATCTGTCAAGTCTAACTCTTCAACCATTTCTCCAGCAACGGCTACTGCTGTATCTGCTTCAATATCAAAGGGGAACTGGATGGTGCGGATATTACCTATAACCATGTATAAACATCTCAAATTTCAGTAGAAAACCGACTTTGGATGCTAACGAATGAAACATTTTACTGCGGTGAAAGTAAATACGAAGAAAAAATAGCCAAAGGTTACATCTGAGAGAGAAAGAGAGACCTGTTGAATCCGAGATCCTTAATTTTAGAAATATTGTGTTATCATTTTGCCTCTGACCTTGCACTTTGACATCCATGCTCGTCTCGGATCGAAGGACCTTGGTATCTCCCCCGATATTAGTCTGATCAGAAGTATTATCTGCATTTATCATGTAAAACTGTGAGGTGAAAAATACTTGATGCCTTAAAGCTCTAAAATTGCTCCAGAGTTCTACCTGAAGATTGGACTCTAGCTCGTAAAGAATGACCTACACTGTCATTTTCCTCGTCAGGCTGGAGAAATGGATCCTTCAAAAGTTCCTTTGCAGACAACCGATCCGAAGCTTTAACAATACATTTTTCGATGAATAACTTAACTCCGGGATCAGTCACTTTCGCCAACGATGCTGGCTTTATTCCCTGCCCGAGAAAGGAACAAACCATGAAAATCATGAAGCATTGTTTGAATTATCTTCATTTATTAAATTCCCTGAAACAGCAACATTTACCTAAGATTTCAATCACCAGGCAACTATTATAAGTTCAAGACAATGATTCTACCATAGAAGGAAGTGACAATTCAATTTGGTTCAAGTCAATATTAAAAAAAATGAATAAAAGTCAATAGGACCTACAGATCCAAGATTTATTTTATTGTCTATTATTGATTTAATAATTTCCCATAGAGAAGCAGGATATGTATTTTAGTCAAAGGGTGCCCCGAATCAAACACGTACCCGTATTAGACACTTACACCTGAGCTCAAGTAACATAGGCCTTGCAAATTACAGTGTTAACGAGCAAGGCCGTCTCATGGCATGCCTCGTTTAGTGATTAAGAACAAGAAAGGTCTAGGTTTTAATTCCTATGCTTCGTAAACGAAGATGAAGATCTATTCGGTGGATTAAAAACGAGAATATAAGGGAATCAACAAATTTCAGGAACTTGTTATTGAATTGTGCCTAAACTCCATAAAAAGGGATGTATAAAAGGGTTTATATTTGATATTCTGTACGCTGATGGTGAGTAATATGTTGACATGTCGAAGTTGAGCAATCTTAAAAATTTGCAGACATTTAAGAATAAATATTGAAAAAAGGGCAAGGTCATTAAGGCCTTACTGATGTCACTTTCTTGAATATTTGAGCTGCATTAGCACATTCAATGTATGGATACTCGAAAGTTACTAACTCCAGCAAACACATGCCGAAAGCATAAATATCTACAAGCTCATTGTATTCCTCCTTGTAGAGTTCCGGTGCCATAAACTCGGGTGTACCTACATCACATTAACAATTTCCTTATTATTTGTATTCTAAATCAGCAATAGTTCCGAATCTTGTAGTATTGACAGTAATTAAGAACATTATGATCCCCACCAATAACACTATGTGCTGAATTGGCCTGGCGAAGAATAGTAGCCAACCCTAGATCTCCGATCTTCACCTCACCTTGGTTACCATTGACAAAGATGTTATCACATTTCAGATCCCTGTGAATCACCGGGGGATCGTGACTGTGAAGATAGACGTGACCCTCCAAGATCTGCCTTGACCATTTCTTCAATGCCCTCAAATCGACATGCTTATGCTTCTTTCGATACCTACACAATCGAACATAAACTTTTCGATAAACCCAAAACAGAACACAATACTTAAAACACAAAAAACAAACATCCTAAAATAGAAGAAGACTTACTGCCTCAATGTTCCCGAAGTGAAAATCTCGGTGATGAAGTTGACATGTTCATTTTTGGTATCAACCCAGGAATTGTAAAATTTAATTATATTCTTATGCTTCAAAGTTTTAAGCAAATGAACTTCCGAATATAGGCGCTCCAAATCTTCGGAATGTCGCAATAGATCCGTGACCTTAACCTGATTCCATGCTACTTCAATACCTTCAAGTTCGTCAAATGCCTTTATCTAAGTTCCCACAACTTAATCAAGGGTTCAACAAACACAAATTAAGCCTCAAAATGCATTCCTATATAAATCTAAGTTCCCACAGCTTGAAATCAAGGATACTACAATAGCAAAAACTAGGACATTAAGCCTCAAGATGTGTTCATAAATCATAAACAATCTAATGAAGAATGGAAAACAGGGAAACGAAAAGGATACACTTTTTTGAAAGCTCCTCTTCCTAAAACCTTCTTGTACTGCAAATAAACAAATTGAGAAGACAAAGTAAAAGCAACCCATTAAAGGTAAAACCAATGAAAACCAACCCAAACGCCAATCAACATCAAATATAAATCAAGCCAACTTCATTCTATAATGGGCACCTTCGTTTAAATGAAACGAAACGATGAGAGAAAACTAACCCGACCGTAACGACCCGTGGGATCGATCTCGACGAATTCGGCATCTGAATCATCTTGTTCGAGGTCGGACGTCGTCGCCGGGGGCATTATAGTCTTTCCCAACAACAAACACAACATGAATTCAGAGATTCTTAAAGAGATTTTCGATTTCTATCTCTCTGTTTATTCGAATTGGAAGACGAAGAACAAACCCAAGTCGTAATTTGAATGGAGAATGGAAATCGAGAAGGAAAAAGGTGATGGGATGGAGTTTGGAGAGGGAATTGTTTCGTTAAAGTGCAGCGCTCAATGGCACAAGTCATTAGCAAACCGACTGTGACTATAATAACAATAAAAAAATATTTTCTAGTTATTTCTATTTGGCAAAAATATATAATAGGTCCCTATACTTTTGTAAAAGAACTAATGTGACCTTCATATTATTTTTCTCTCAATGTGATCCTCTAACTCAGAAAACAAATCCAATGTCCCTTTGACTAACGTTTTTTGTCATTTGACTGTTACAATACTAATGTGACAGTTCACGGTACTAACGTAACAGTCCATCTACCATGTTTGAGTTACCAATTTAACTCATCTATCATGTTATCCACCATGTTATAAACCACTTTAAACTCTCACGTCAATAAAGTAGACCGCCACATCAACACTGTAAACTATCACGTCAGCACCTTAACAATCAAACGACCAAAAATATTGGTTAAAGGGTCACGTTAACTTTTTTTTAAAGTACAAGAACCTCTGATGCGTTTTTACATTTATATTTTAAACCATTGATAAAAGTAAATTTCAATCTAAGTCAAATATATAAAATTTAAATTGAATTATTTGAATTTTTGTTTACATTTTGATTATAAATATTTATATTATTATAATATTAATTAATTTTGGTTAAAAAGATCTTTTATAACTGTGTATGTTATATATAAGTATTTCTTTATATGCGGAATATAATTGCCCGTCCAGCTCAATTGGTAGAGCGCAAGACTCTTAATATTGTGGTCGTGGGATTGAATCCCATATTGGGCATTTCATAATTCTGACTGTCGGTGGTCTTCCACGGAAGCTGCTCTCAACCTGACGTTGGGGGCAACCTACTACCTTACCTCCCCTCACCCTATTACATATGAGAATATGGTCAACTAATTTGAGCTAATTTAATTTTATATGTGGAATATATATATATATATATATATATATATATATATATATATATATATATTATTACTTTAAACACAATCTAAGTTATTTTTATAGCTCAAATTTTATTTAATTTTTTTAATCGAATCAAATTTATAAAATTAAAAATAGTTTTAAAACGTGGAGTCTTTTATTACTGAATTTAAAGGCTTTCAGCCTTTCACCTAATCAGCCACCACATAAGGCATATGGGCATGGCCACAAGCAGATAACATGTAATGTCTTCTCCCAAACAGATTCACATGTTATCAAGATGCATGCATGCATGCTCTTTATAGAAACATATGCATAACAAAACAAGCAACACTCGCATTAATGCTTCTTTTATTAATTAAATTTTCATTATACGGTTCGAAACTCTTCATTTTTCTCGAAATATCCGTGTTCGAAGCCCGTCGTGTTCGGGCAGAGGTAGAAGGAACCCTCAAAAGACCATTTCTGTCGAAACCATGTTTGATCTCTTATTCAAACATCACCTGAGAGCATTCATCTTGTTAGTCAGATAGTAAAGCTTTGCTCTTCTCACTTTCTTCTTGTCCAGCACCTTTATCTCCTTTATACTTGGGGAATACCTGCCATCCATCGTCGTCCGATCTTATTTATGCATTATGTTAAAGATAAGTATACGCAAATTTGAATCGATGACCACGATAAGTCGATAACCGTGAGCTATGTTGCTCGGACTCTTTGTTTTCCTTGGAGCACCTATATCCATTATGGATACGTAGATATGACCCTCCAAGGATTCGCAAGATACATGAGAAAACTTATGAAAAAAAATGAACATACCCGTATCGGGTATATATCCTTACTCGACACTTACACCGGAGAGCACGTAACATAGATAAGAGCTATCGGTAATATTAGATCAGAGACACTCATGCTTAAAACAACTACGAGAATGAAACTTGGAGCAAATTGGATGTGAGCAAGAACTACAAGAAACGATCATTATTAACACTTGATGATACGGCTTTAATAGCGGAGATGCTTGGAAACACAACGAAGCAAACGCTTTTACAGCGAGTCATGTGATTAACATTCTTTTATCATATCGTTAATAACATATGTGCTAAACTATTAGTCCAAAGAATTGCTAAGCCTTGGGGACACAAAGATTTCAGAGCAAACCTAATCCGCACGTTGCGTATTCTAGTAATAGTTTATGTTCTGTCCGGAACCGTATGTCTTAATGCTATGTATTTCGTCAATATAGTTGGAATCGATATTATAACACAATCAGTGACACAACTTCTTGGCATTTTACAGGTTAATATATCGAAACTTAAACAACATGCTTTTCGAGGGAAGAGCATAAAGGTGAATGTTACTTACAATGGGAAGAGATATTCAACCCCAACTCCGGCAACCACTCCCCGTATTCGGAATGTAGTATTCAGGCCAGTATTACGACTAGCGACAACAATGCCTTTTATTGTCGAAAGGCGACGCTTGTTTTCAGGCACTTCCTGCTCTCAGCAACAGCACGCCGGTTACCTTAATTCACTCGAAAAATATGTTAAAGATCACATGTAGTAATCACACCTCAAATTATGTCAAAACATGTCGTACCACGTTGAGTTGCACAATGTAGCCAGGTTTTATCTCAGGTATCTCTCCCTTTGCTCCTTCACTTTTGCCACTGCTTCGTTATTGAGAATCTGCAAGCACGTGATCCATGCAATTCAAAACCAGGACATGGCGACGAACAGGTCCGAGATTCGAATAATAACCGAAAAAGAGAGCTTTGCTGCATTATGTGCCTGGCAGTTTTATCAAGTCTCTTAAATTTAACTCGATTCGCTGCATCCCTGACAGATTCCGAAGAATCCATAGTAGAGATCCGATACGTTCAAGTTTTTTTTTAAATCAAATTTTCAAATGGGATGGATTTATCGAATGACCTAAAGATAAAAAATGTTGTTTTCTTTAAAAGATTTGCTTAACGAATATAAGAATCGTCCTCCCCTATACCAATGCTTCATCTGCTTGTGTCTGTTGTCCTAGATTGGTGACTCGTCGTCAGTTTCATGTGGTTTTCTTGAAACGTCGATGGAAGATAATAATTTCATCTAAATCGTCGGAGGAAGATGATAACTTAATCGGTCAGTGTAATAGATACCCCAAACTCCTAATAACTTGTGAACAATACCATTTTTCCTAAAATGAAATTTCCAACCACACTATTTCACTAATTTTTTGCCACCTACATATTATACTTGTGTCTAGTCATTGCAGACAGTCAATGAATGCATGCATGCATGCATGGTAGGATGGTCCCTTTACAAATGCATATAAACCCTATAGCCTCCATCAACTCTAACTAACAACGTATTTTGCTTATAATTGTTTTCAATTTTCCATTCAATTAAACTGCATTTAGTAGTACTTTAATAACACAGTTTGATTAGCCACAAAAGCTGATGCTTGTGCAGAAAGTAGACCAAAAAGAAACCCTGCGGCCTAAGCTAACTAGTGGCAGCATGGGGGCAACAATGCGATAACCAAAGGGCCATTTAAAGCCTTTTAGCCTTTCTAGGTTTCTCCTTGGCTTCCTTTTGTGTGGGTGTGTGTGTTTTTCACTTAAAAAACTGTCATTTTGGTTTACTTTATGCGGTTCCATTAAACTGTGTTAAATGCACCCTTTGGATCCTGCAAACTAGTGCTTAAACTTTGTTGTCTTTGCCCTTCCTTTTTGCAACAAGTTTTGTGCTTTCAGTTGAACCCCCCTAATTACTTCATAAAGCCAAAAAAACCTGACAACAATCCGTTAAGCTGATCGCTTATAACCTGTTTGTGTTATTGCTTGTTCTTTGGGGTTTTTTTTTTTGATTACGTAGGAAGTTTAGGCCATGGAGAATGTCCTTGTGATCAAGAAGAGTCTACTTCTTCTTCTGTTTTTGCTTGTTGGGTCGTTTGTGTTTCGTGAAGATGATGGTGACCAAGTTTCATCTGTGTCTCCAATGGTGAAGGAAGAACAAGAGGCATTATATGGTGCCATTCAGGGTTTTGTGGGGAACTTTTGGAATGGCTCGGATCTCTACTCTGACCCTTGCGGATGGACACCTATTCAGGTTTAAAATACATCACTTTCTTCTTCTTTTCTTGCCGGGACTATCGTTCCTGAAATTTTTAAATTCTCATATTCTTTCACTCCTAATATAAAATTCTACGTTCATCCGTATTATTCAGACTATAAATGAAGATTAAACGAGTATGTGTCTAATATGGATATATATGTCTATATATATATATGTGTGTGTTGAATACAAAGGTGGGATATGAATATTTGGGGAATCATAAATGTATTATAGTTTTTGTCTGTGGAATAAGTCTTTCATGCAAAGCAAATCAGTAGGAAACTTGCATGCAACCGATACTGCTAAAAGGCATTACAAGCTGAGTTTTATTGTTACTGTTGAAGACATTTTTGGGTAAATTTGCATTTAGTACCTAAATTATAAATTTAGTTTTGTTTCATTTTAATACCCGTCATTAAGTTATGAAAAAAAAATGAAAGTCTAGGTATCAAAACATGTTTAGTACCTAAACCATACTTAAGTTTTGAAAAAAATGGAAATTTAGATACTAAAATGGATCAAAACTGATAGCTTAGGTATTAAACGTTTTAAGTTTTTAACGGTGTGATATTAAAATGAAACAAAAACTAAACTTTAGGTATAATTCTAAACAAATTGAAAGTTTAGGTACTAAATGCGTAATTTACTCAAAATTCTTACAAATGCAGGGAGTTTACTGTGATCTTGTTGATGGGTTTTGGCACATCATAGTTCTAAACATTGGTCTGGTTTTTGACAACTCTCTGCAATGTAGCACAGAAGCAAAGTTCACCACCACTTGTTCGAGTTGACTCACCTAAGATCCCTTTCCTTCTTCAACTGCTTCTTCTCACCTAGAGATAATCCCATTACCATCCCTTCCTCAAACTGGGAAAGATCCTCAAACAACCTTAGAATCATTTGAGTTTAGATCCTATGAAGGTCTCATTGGTGAGATTCCAAGCTTCATTGGCAGCCTCAAAAAGCTCCAATCATTGGTGTTACTAGTCAATGGATTAACTGGAGATTTGCCTATAGAATTAGGCAACCTGGTGAATTTGAGGCAGCTTGTGCTTGCTGGAAACAAGTTTATTGGTCATGTTTTACCAAGTCTGGCAGGTTTAACAAAGCTGCTGATAATGGATTTAAGCAGAAACAATCTATCAGGGCCATTGGAGTTGAGCACTGGGAGCAATTTCACTTCCTTGTTGAAGCTTGACTTGAGCAACATTGGCCTTGAGGGGAAGATACCAGAAGGAATCAGGAGGTTGAAGAATGCCACTCTTGTTGATCTTGGTAGAAACAAATTTTCAGGTGGGTTGACTAGTTCAGGTTAGGTGAGTCTATTAGAAATCATATCAATAGATTGCAACTTTTCGAGGATGTTAGATATTCAAAATACGACCTCTGGAGACATTCTTTCTATGTCATTCGGTGTCAGAGTATAAATTTGACAAACGTAATTAGTGTTATCTTGTTGTATCGATTATATATGGGATCCAAAATAATTTACAACAACATTTGTATCAGATACAAATATAAGATTTTATGTTAGGGGTGTGAATGTTCATAAAGTTATATTAAAAATATTATAGTACAAAATTATAAAACTTCAAAAAGGATAAAATTAGATAAAATTTATAAAAAATACTTAAATTATATAAAAATTTATCCAAGAGTACTTCTGCTACAACAAACCCAATCCATCCTTTCATATATATATATATATATATCATTCAAATTAAGTATATGTTTAAAATTTATAACAATTTGTTCTAATAATAAAACTTTTAACATGAATTAAACGGTTTCAGTGGTTAAAATAATGATTATTATTCTTAGAGTTTTCGGGTTTTAGCTCCAGCGACTATAAAATATTTGAACATATATTATTAAATTAACGAGTATTTAGAATGGATACTATCGCTTGCAATAAAAATTTTTATTATTAAAAATTAATTTTTTTAATATAATATGTTTTATGATTATACCTACCACTTTCGACAAATTTTGCATGTCTTATCATATATATGGAAGGATGGAGAAAAATGAAACAAATAATTCGAAGGACCAATTATTGAGGTGTACATCAATAACATTAATGTTTTACTTATATAATCATGAATCATAACACGAATAAAGTGATCTCCGTGATAAATGAATTGTTATTATTCCTTAAAGACCCGAGTTCGAGCACCATAAACATCAAAATTGTGAGCGTTCAATATCAAAGGATTAAAAAATATTACGTTGTACGTATCCTGTATTAATAAAATAAAATCATCAACCACATAAATTAGAACTTTTTGTATACAATTGCTCATGAAAAATGCGACAAAATATACTTTAATATCTAAAAGTGTATAATATAGATGGAGATGACTATACAACTCAGTTGGTAGAGCACATGTTTTTTAACATTGAGGTCGTGAGATCGAGTCCTACGGAAGGCATTTCATATTTCGAATATCTTCTACGGAAGCTGCTCACAACCTGGTGTTGGAGGTAACCTACTATCTTACCTCCCCTTTACCCTACATATGAGAACAAGAGACAACCATTTTTTTTTGTATAATATAGATGAAATATATATAATTGATTGTTTTATAAAATTAGATTTCAAATTTATAAAAATTCAAATCATTTCAATTTTAAACATTTATGTTGCTTGCTTTTTATAAAAATAGTATAAACTGCATCATAAGTCCTCCATAGTTATCCTTTATTTCATTTAGTCTTAATTTTGATTTAATGATATTTTAGGCCCTCAAACTTTTGAAGAAAGAATTAATGTGAACCCTGAACTCATTTTACATCCAATGTGACCCTCATACTAGGTTGGGGGAAAAAAATCAATTTGCCCCTTTTACAAACGAAAAATAAAGTTAATCGTTACGATACTAACAGAGAGATGATGTTACTCTCGCGTTAATTACTTGATCTCCAGCAAGGGCAACAACACCATTTAACAATCATTCACCATAGCCTCTGCTAATGAGTCCTACAATGTCTTGAAACCAATCGCATCGCAATCACTGAAAGGCCTTGGATGGCGTTCTACAAATGAAACACCACTCACATGCTCCATTGTTGATACAGCAGCTAAGCCTCGAGCTTCATACGTGTGTAGAGCCGTAGCTTAATACTCGAAGGGAAGCCAAGGTTCAAGGAGACCGGACGCTGCCAAGCCTTTCTCGGGAATCTTTCTTGCTGGACTTGGGAGATAATGATGCAATAAAGTATAGATTTAATGCCTAACCCACAAGTTAAGCACATTATCAAATACCTAATGTACAAATCTTCATCAATCTCGTATTCAATAAAACACCTACTGTACAATAGTTTAAGAGTTCAGAAATACACCTACTGTACAATAGTTTAAGACTTAAGTAAACATTCGTATCGAATACATATTCATAATCGACACTCACAGAATCCTATATGGATGCAGACATTTCAAGTCAGATAGTCAGCTATGGCAGTGCCTTACTTCAGGAAGATCTGTCAACTAAAATACCATACGACTGAAACAATTACATACCAAGGTTTTGGCACAAATGGGAATGAACAAACTCTCACTAACTAAATAATTATAGACAGCATCCATAGATTAAAAAAAAAGTAAAAATATCCACAGAGATCAGTACACTAACCGATAGCTTTTCTTTTTTGTACATAATATATGAGATTAAAACTTAGAAGCGCTAATAGAAGAGTCAAGGATGCTTGCCTACGGTACAAGAAGTCCTAATGAGTCAGCTCTCTACACTTGGGTCGGGATCTGGTTGCTTTTGGGCAACGGGACCACCATTCATTCTCGCACGTGCCTCTGCAAACATTCTTTGCTGCTCAGCTGCTGCTTCTTCCTCGGTCATCTCTGCTCCGTTGTTCCATTTCCCAGCTTTCAAAGAGTCTTGCTGAAATGCATTTCAAGAAGACCTTCAGTGAATAATGTTGGTACGTAATTTCGTTACAGAATCAATTTCGAAAAATATGCAGTATTGTCTTGTATCATATTTGAAGGAAAATAGCTCTTGCAGAAAAGAGTAGCATGGGATTTCCAGCTTCTTGATCGGGAATTGGGAAAAATGATATGCCGATCTTAACACGATTTTGTGGGGTAAAAAGGTCAGCAGTGACAGAAGGGAAGACGGAGGTAACATTTCTACTTTCAAAAGGTTAAATTGCGGAATGCTAAATGCTAATTAGCAAGAAGACAAAAATATACCATTGTCTCAATCTTGTGTTGCTCATATGCAGCATATACCTCTTCAATGTACTCTCCAAACCCAAGAACCTGGCAAATCACATGCATACATGAGTTTTAAAAATGAGTATATTTATATGTAGGCTAAAACATGGTACAATCAAGAACGTATGCGAGTAGAGTGCAGAATCGTAACCAGATCACTGTTAGCAAATGAAATTGCCCCTACTACTACATAAGTGTCGAGGAAAATGAAATATGAAGACCATATTTAAAAAAGAGCAGGCCAGTAAAGCCATATCTTGATATGAAAACAACAATTTCCTTCTCAGAGACTACTTCATAAAAGGATTTGATGAAGATGGTGCTAGACTTCTTGAAGGCATTGCTTTATTAAGGTCGAAAAATAACACACAAAAAGGACTAAATTGAAATTTGAAAGTAGGTTGAGGAGAGAGTAACCTCTAAAGCCTTGAGTACATGTTCAGGTGCTATTGTTCGTCTATCCTCTCTGTTACAAACTTCATTGGACTCTGATGAAACAAGATTAATAAACTCTGCAAGAGGGTTGCAGTTTCCGTTAGTTAAAAGAAACAAGTAATGCCATCATTATATTATGTTTAGAGACTAAAATTCCACCGATGTAAAAAAAAGACAAATGAATATAGCTGGTAATATGCTTGCCAAACAACATTCTAACATGAAAAAGTTTTCCACCGATATCTTCAATGAAACAAATAGTGGGATTATAAACATATAAGATTATCAATTATATGAATCTAAAATCAGTTTCAGAACTACCTTAAAAATATAAAATAATTGATACCATATTTGTATGGCACACTACTTTGAAAAAGAAAATGTTATGAAATTGGCCAAAACAAACCCATACCACGATAAGAAGGTAGACTTTTGCTTTAAAAGTCACAGGTTTGGGGCAAATAAATCAACAATCATATGCTAGTCAACACAAAAAGAATAATGGTTAGCCGATCACTATCAGAAAAGTCAACACTCAGCAGTGGAGAAACACTTGAAAAAAAATTGATGTGCTAGCAATTAAAAGAATACATATAGGTCACAGAGACCTTAAATTGGTACTTGGTTAAAAAGAGACAAAAATTACACTTATCATCTTACCTACACAACACTCAATCAAAAGATCTTGAGCATCTCTTGCAACACGTACATCTGGTGGTAACATTTCCTTTATAATTTTGGTCATAGTTGCTGCAAAAAGCAAAGATTTATAAATAATTTGTATCATAAAGCAAAGAAACATATCTAAACTAAACCGCAGGGCCTAGGGAAAGCCATGGACGGACAAGTTATGGGATTAGTATAATTTGCAAGCACACAAGGGAAAGCAACCCGATTCTCTTTTTATAACATTGAACAACAAAAGTAAACAAAAACTCAGATCCTTGCACCAAAAGCAAATCATGTAAACTGCTTCAGACATTACAGCCTTGTTATTAGCTCATAAACCCCATTTCACTATGCAACACAAGTTCCCTGGAGAAAAAAATCTGCCGGTCTCAGTTTAATTGTCCACATACTCGCACTGTTTCCCAAAGCCCTGATTAGTAGTGAATTCAATTCCTTTCTAAACATACTCAACTGTTGATCCTTAAAGTCATCACATTCTCCAACCAGCATAATGTTCCCACTTCCCCTACACAAGCTCTAGACTGTAAATAGAACAACCAACCAACGGGAAAGCCAGTCGTCGCCTTTGATAGACAAAACATTCAGATAGGCAACTCCTCCCATGAATCTAAAAGTTCTCACAGTAAAAATCTAGCATAAAACAAGAATAAGTTTGAACGCAAAATTATCCTTCACATCATGAATAATGCACCTTTCTTGAATTATTGAATTTGATTGATACGTCCGATAAAAAAAACCCTAACTATTTTTTAGGGTAACTCATTCACTTATTCACTAATAAGTAAAAACTCAATGCATGAGTTGGCCTACACAAGCCAAGACCTGAATTAAGCAACGAAACTGGAAACTGCAATTATTTACCATTATTAGCTAATCTTGATAGAAGTTATAAAAAAAACCCTAGCAAATTTAAGACTTCAAATTCATAAATTAGCACACAATAAGAGAATCGAAAGAATAAAGAGGAAAATTTTAGGGGAAAACAAATGAAATATCATCAAAATTCACCGAATAACTAAATATAAACGAAACGGAAATTAGGACGAGAAAACAGAGGAGAGAAGGAAATAAATTACCTTTGGGAAGCGAAGCGTCCTCCTTCGACTTCCCTACGATATCCATCGGCTCCATCTTTCAATTCTTCAAAACAAACGAAAAAAATATCAAAATCCAACAGAGAATAAACAGATATAAAACGTGAAAAAAAGGAAATACGGGGGAGTACCGGACTCACCGAGTTACTGAGTCAAGACGCGGGGGATTATCCCCACAGATGAGAAAACGCTAAAACGAGTGAAGCGATTCGTGATCCGAGTCGAGTTGGCGATGAACACGAAGGAAGACATGGTTGATTTATGGAGTTATCAGAGATGCTCATTGGCTCTTCACGATAAGAGAGGTGGCTCTCGATCGCAGCCGATTACGGGAGAGAGAAAAAAACAAACAAACAAGCATTCAAGGGAGGCGCGAGGGGTTCTCACGCGCCTTTTTTTTATAGCGCCTTTGGAATATTAGTGGAATTAATGGATCTGATGGTTAGTTCGTGTCGGAAACTCCGTTGTTAAGCGCGTCGAGGATTTTGGGTTATCTTGGAACTTTCAATACATCTATCTGATTTTATTTTATTTTTATTTTTTCCTATTGTTTTGATCGATGCGGAAATTAAGACTTTGTTAATAAAAGTGTTTGACGAAATGCAAATGAAAGACTCTCAACTTTCTCCACGTCTGCTTATTTGCCCTTTTAGTTCTAGGGATAGTTCATTTAGCTAGGGATGAGACCTGCACAAAATCGGATTTAAATTCGATCTAGATCAGATAAAAATCGATCTGATATTTTCATCTAATTAAAAAAATCAGGTTTTAAAAAATCGGTTTGGATTCTAATTGGTTTGGAGAGTCGTATGATGTAACCTATTTCGGTTTTAAAAAAAATCAATTTTTAATCCGGTAAAAAAACTGGTCATCCAATTTTTTAATAAACCGGTTATATTAAATGCTAGTTTTTTAATCCCCAGACCGGATTTATTTTTCGGATAAAAAATCAGTTTTTTATCCGGTTTTTTCAAACCGGTTTTTAATCTAGTAAAAAAAGCGGTCGTCTAATTTTTTCCCAAACCGGTTATACTATCCGGTTTTAAAATATCTGATCTGATTTTTCCCAAATCCGATTTCGGATATTTTTTTACACAAAATCGGATATTCAGATTTTTTGTACACCTCTAACCACATGTCGGATATTTAGTCAATCTCACTTGACTTAAAAATATGCTTTCATTAGACTTAAAATATATATATAATTCACCCGATTTTGATTCGATATGATTTTTAGAATATAAATCTGACTCGATCTAATTCGACTAAAAGTGATCAAACGATTGATTCGATCATCGATCGAACCGAATTTTCATAAACCAAATTAATTGGAAAAAAATTCTTTAACCGTTTATTAAACCGAATTTTTTTTGGAAACATGAACCGAACAGTTCGATTAACTGAGTTAACTTTTTATTAAGTTGCCAGCAAAGGAAAAGGAAGATCCCAGAAAAGATGCCAATGAAGTAAGTTCGAAAACGACTAAACATTTTTCTCTTCTTCAGATCTTATGACCTATTGAACATCTTGGAGTTTAGTAGCTCGAGAAAGAGGATGTCTGTGATTGTGCAGAATGAGGAGGGCAAGCTGCTGCTACTTTGTAAAGGTGCCGACAGGTTCGTAATCTGAAACAATTGAGTATTAGATCAAGGATTCTTTCCGGTATAAAAATGCTTAACAATGGATTATATTAAGTACATTTACATTCTTCTTACGAGCAGTGCCATGTTCGAAAGACTAGAATTTGCAGAGCAAACCAAGGAGCACATTGAAGAATATGCTGATGCTGGTTTGAGGACTTTGGTACTGGCATACCGTGAAATAGGCGAGGAAGAATATGTCAAGTTCAATGAGGAATTCACGGAAGCCAAGAATGTAGTGAGCGCAGATCGGGAGGAAATGATCAAGGAAGTGGCCGAGAAAATCGAGAGGGAGTTGATTCTTCTTGGTGCTACGGCTGTTGAAGAAAAACTTCAAAATGGGGTGTGTTCGAAGACCACATATTGAAAAGCATTATTTGCTTATATTTTTAATGTCTGCATTCATGTTTTGCCTTTTCTGCTGGACAGGTTCCGGAATGCATCGACAAACTTGCACAAGCCGGGATCAAGATATGGGTTTTGACAGGAGATAAGATGGAGACAGCCATTAATATTGGGTATGATCATTGTTGCAAATGCTTACCATAAGACTTGTGTGAACTTCTGTATGCTGATTTCGAAAACTTCAAATTTTGCAGCTTTCCCTGTAGTTTGCTTAGACAAGGAATGAAGCAAGTTGTAATAAATTCCGAGACCCCAGAAAACAAGGCATTGGAGAAATCCGGGGATAAAACCACCGCTGCAGCGGTAAACTCTAAGTTCAATGAATCCTTTTTATCTCATTCAACGCTGGTTGTCGTATTTGTTGAAGCACATTTCGAGAAATATTTTCGTGCCTTGAACTGTGTTTGCCATACTTGTTTCTTATCCGAATACAATCTGATGTTTTGAGTGTGCTTGTTAGCTTATTGAGGACCTTTTGATTTTCGATTTTCTAGGCATACAAGGTTAGCGTTATCCAGCAGATAGCTGAAAGGAAGCAGCTGCTTGCTTCATCGAATGAAAATACCGAGGCATTGGCTTTGATCGTTGATGGAAAATCATTAACTTATGATCTGGAAGATGATGTCAAAGACAGTTTTGTGATTAAAAAAACCGAATTCGGAATTCAATGTAACCACAAAATCAGAAGATTGTCATGAAACAGAAACATCGTCCAATAGCAATCAGTTAAACTAAAATGATCGAACTGTTTTGCAGATATGCTATTTCTTTTACAAGAATATTGCTTCCGGTTTCACTATCTTCTTCTTCGAGATATACGCATCGTTCTCCGGACAAGCTGTATACAATGATTGGTTTCTGTCCCTCTATAATGTCTTCTTCACATCACTTCCGGTGATTGCTCTTGGAGTTTTCGACCAAGACGTCTCATCCCGTTTGTGTCTTATGGTATCTCTCTATACATAAGAGAACTTCTATGTTGTTCTACTAACAGAAATTTGAACTTTGATGAATGATATCTGATTTCTCTTGGACTTGATCATGTTGCAGTTTCCCCCCCTATTATATCAAGAAGGCATACAAAATGTCCTATTTAGCTGGCTTAGGATCGTCGCATGGGCGTCTAACGGAGTTCTAAGTGCTACGATCATCTTCTTCTTCGGCATCCGAGAAATGCAGCATCAAGCCTTCCGCAAAGGCGGGGAAGTTGCCGGTTTGGAAGTCCTCGGCGTCACCATGTATACGTGCGTAGTGTGGGTCGTGAACTGCCAAATGGCGTCATCGATCACTTATTTTACATACATTCAACATCTCTTCATATGGGGCGGCATAATATTGTGGTATATCTTTCTCATGGCATACGGAGCCATGGACCCGAACATATCGACTACTGCCTACAAGGTCTTCATCGAAGCCTGTGCGCCTGCAGGGTTGTATTGGCTTCTTACACTCCTAGTGCTGGTAACCTCACTTCTCCCATATTTCGCTTACTCGGCCATCCAAATCCGATTTTTCCCCATGTACCATCAGATGATACAGTGGATTTGATCCGATGGGCAATTGGACGACCCCGAGTACTTTCACATGGTGCGACAGAGATCGTTACGCCACACTACAGTAGGTTATACCGTACGGTTTGAAGCAAAATCGAGAAGCTCGAAAGAGGGAGGGGAGGGTCATCGATGGTTACCGTTTCCCCCCCCCCCACTAGTTTCGACCAAAAGATGGTCTGTACATTATGCTGCTAGGATTTCTTTCAAATGTACATATTTGGACACCAAGAAAAGTTCTTTCTTGTCAAGAAAGTCATGCCTGCAAGATGTTCTTAGCAACTTAAGATGCAGTCTCGTATCCGACATTTCGGTTCGTCTCGTATCCGACATTACGGTTCGTCTCGTATCCGACATTACGGTTCGAAGTTGGCCACCATTTTTGTGTGTTGATTTGAATTTAAGATGTAAGGTTATATAAATCAAAGTAAACTGGTTATGATTTCTTTCTTGAATCTGTAACAAAATTAATTGACAGTGATTAAGTTTTGGATAAATTACATCAATTGTCACTAATTTATGAGTAAATATTCGTTTTCCCTACTAAAATTTGAAAAGTAACAAATTAGTCACTAACATATCGATTTGTAACAAAATGATTACTAACGTTATCGATTTGTAACAAAATAGTCACTCCATCGTTATCTCTATTAAATTGATGACATGGCAACGTTAATAAAAAGATTAATATTTAGTTTTACCCTTAAACTATTGCTAAAACATCAAATAAGTTCTTAAACAATGGTTTTATATCTAATTTATCCCAAAAGCTTTATAATTTATAGTTTTTGTAAACATCCCAGCAAAACTATATTTTTAACCACCATCCTTACAACACGAAAACCACACTGCATAGATGAATAGAGTTTTTCCATTAAAGACAAATACATGAATATTTAAAGCCATATATATTCAATTAATTTTAATGTAAAAAGTCATGCTTTTTGGGATGGTTTTCGTAAAATGGTTAGAATATTTAAAGACAAACGAGAGTTTGTTTAAGTGTGATTTTCATTTTGTAAGAAAATTGGTTGGAATATAATTGAAATGGAGGGGAGTTTAAAAAAATGAAAATTGGAAAGCTTTTGGGAAAAAAATAGATATAAAATCATTGTTCAATGACGTATTTAATGTTTTAGCGATAGTTTAGGGGTAAACCTAAATATTAATTTTTTTATTAACGGTGCCACATCATCAATTTAACAGAGTAACGGTGGAGTGACAATTTTGTTACAAATCGATAACGTTAGTGATTATTTTATTACAAATCGATAACGTTAATGACCAATTTGTTACTTTTAAAACTTCAATTGAGAAAACGAGAACTTACTCAAACATTAGTAACCATTTGTGTAATTTGCCCTTAAGTTTTTTCAAAGTTAAAAGTCCTAATCACATACACATACGCATATGTATACATACATACATACATATATATATATATATATATATATATATATATATATATATATATATATATATATATATCATTCTTCACTGAACAATACTCTCGCTCTTATTTCACTCAAAGTACTTTCAAATTTCCTAATTTATTCACTGAACTTTCGAATTGCTCATGTTTTGACCCCTTTTAATTTTTATTATTATTTTTGTATGACATGGTTTTTTTATTATTTGACGTAAAATAATTGAAAATAAAAAATAAAAAAAGGTGGTTGGATGCCATCGTTGGCCACCGTCAACCGCCGTAGATGATGGTCGTTCGGTCCCAATTTTCATGGGTCGCTTCGCCTCGACACCTTGAGTCATAATCCTACTTCCATTTTTTCAAAACTTGCTCAGAAGTCTACGAATTAGAGATTAAAAGCGAGGAAGCCAAAACATTTCAGTCGAAATTCACGGGTTTTGAGACATTTTTCGGTGAAACAACCATCATATTCGGACTCAGGGGGTCAAGACAAATCGACTCATGAAATTTGAGACTGAAGGACTACCATCTACGATAGTCGACGGTGACATCTAACCACCTTTTGTTTTTATTTTATATTTTTAATTATTTTATATTAAATAATAAAAAAGCCATGTCATGTAAAAATAATAATAGAATAATTCAAAATGATCAAAACATAAGCAATTTAAAGTTTAGTAAGTAAATTAGAAAAACTGAAAGTATAATACGTAAAATAGGAGAGATAATATAGTTTAATGAGAAATGATGTAATTTACCCATATATATATATATATAATCACCATTTTTTGTCCTGCCATCCCTGTTACACCAACTCAACTGCAGCAACACCATGCCCTTCCATCCATCATGCTCTACCACCAGCACCAAATCCCTACTCCACAGCAACCCCAAGCACATGCCACCCCTCCATATAACAACATAAAAAAGAAAGAAAACAACGAGGGAGGATCCAAAAAAAAGAGTAGCAAGAGAGCAACCAGAACAAATTGCATTAAATGAAAATCCAAGGAAACAAATCATATTCAAGTAGTGATCAAAATGGAAGAAAACAAAGTAGGGTGTCAGCGTCATGAATATGTAACTTTACAAGGACTTGTGCCATAACTATACCAAATTTTGTTAATTGCACTTCCGTTAACTGTTAACTGCAGGTGGCTATATCAAAACTATTTAAATAGTTCAGGGGTCGTATTAATGCAAAATTTGAAAATGATGGTCATTTTGAGACCAAGCCCATAGTTGGGTGGTCATTCATGCAGTTTACCCAAAATTATATTACCACCAAATTTATCAACTGTCAAATTTTGAACTCTGATCTTAAACCTCACATTCATAACAAATTATCTACCAGAGAAATCAAAACAGTCTCCCAAAAATACCTAAATCCAATATTTTTTTTCAAAGTTTTCTCAAATATATTCATTGCTTCTCCTCCTCCTCCATTGCTGGCGGGAGCCGCCATCATCGTCACCGCCGTTAAAATATTAACATCAATTATCCGATAACCTTATTTTTTGTAAATAATTTGGTAATTAGTGTTACGATTTAGGGTCGAAGATGGTGGCGTTACAGGTCGAGCAACTCAATCAATTAAAGGATATTTTCTCAAGGTTCGACATGGACTCTGATGGTAGCCTCACGATTCTCGAGCTCGCCGCGCTCCTTCGGTCACTGGGACTCAAACCGTCCGGGGATCAGATCCACGCGCTATTAGCCAATATGGACTCCAATGGCAATGGCGCGATCGAGTTCGATGAATTAGTGAGTGCCATAATGCCACACATGAACGAACAAATGATGGTGAATCAAGAGCAACTCAAGGAGGTTTTTACATTGTTCGATCGAGACGGCAACGGCTACATAACCCCGGCCGAACTCGCGGGTTGTATGGCCAAGATGGGGCAGCCGTTGACGTATAAAGAGCTAACGGAGATGATCAGAGAAGCCGATGCCGACGGAGACGGTGTCATTAGCTTCAATGAATTTTCTACCGTAATGGCTAAGTCGGCTTTTGAGTTTCTAGGCATTCATTTATCTTCATAACCAAAGATTTTGGTTTACATTAGGTCTTGAGTTAATTAAAAATCTACTCGTTCCGAAAATTTAAATTGTGGTCACTATCGTAAATATTATTGTAAAAAAAAAATCATGGAATAACGATCATAATGTTAAGTTGTAGACTACTATTAAATTACGGATATGATACAAAATCTACATCCTAAACCCTAAACCCTAAACCATAATCATAGTACTTATTGTTGTGATTGTCGTTACTGATGTTATAACGTGATTTATTTTTAAAAATAACTACATTTTTATGTTACATATACGATCTTCGATGTTACAATAATTTTAAAAATCGTTATGATACGACCGTTATACTGCCATTTGCATCGAAAATCACTTCTCCTGCAATATCTGAGGCATCAAAGAAAGCCCAAGAAGCATTTCTAAGGAACTGGTCTTGATACAAAGAAAGAGATTTCCAAATGTGCATGTGTCACACCTTGAAGAGATGTAGAATAATCTTACACCGAAAAGAAAAGAAAGAGATTTTGGAGTTTATAAACAGCGGTGTTATATATCCTACTTGTTGAGAAATAAAACCGAGTAATTTCCCTATAACCAGATTAGCGAGAATACGAAATAAAAGCGAAAAAATAATACCCGAAATTGATAACGGAGTTCAACCAATTTTGCCTACGTCTCCGGACTACTGCAGATCTTTTACTAAAGAGAAAAAAATTAGAGGTGTTTACAAAACACTCACAACTCACAAGAAAGCTCTCTAGTATTGGGAGAAAGAAATGATTTGGAATGATTTTGAAGCTAAATGGGTTAGAGTATTTATAGTTGAAATTTAAGGACTAATCTTATAAATACCTTAAAGTATGCAGGGTCCAAATTGCAATTATCCCTATTTCTATTTTCAACAGACATCTATCAAACTTTGAAAACAAATTTTCAAAGTGCGGTGCCAAACTTTGAAAACCCATTCAGCGGTCCCATTTGCTTGACTTTCAACACTCACAACTAAATATACGTTACTATCATGCTTTGTTCGATCGCCATAACGACCCCGATCCTAGTGAAATCTGTAATATTTTTCACCGAAACCTATTCGAGGACTCCGTTAACTTCGCCCCGTGGGAGTATGGAATCCCCCAAGAATTTGAGTACAACTGCGATTCCAAAATCTTTAACTACATCGACTCCACGTGTAGAGCCGAACGCAACAAGAATGTAGATAAGTTATTGGTTGTTGCGGCATTCGGACTGTTTGGGATGAACCGTGATATCGATCACGAATATTACAGCGACGACGACGACGGTGGGATCGACGAGGAAATCAGATTTGTGCCGGCTACTATGTCGAGCATCGAAGCGTTGGAGAAAATTTCCGATTTGGGGTTCGAGTTTGAATGCGTGATCTGCTTAGAAGAAGAAAAGAAGCGACCTAAACGTATGCCGTGTGGGGATGTGTTCCATGACCGGTGTATCGAAGAATGGCTGGAAAAGAGTCACTTGTGTCCTGTGTGTCGTTATGCCATGCCTAGGGATTCATGAATGTTTAGATCTCATCAATTACTTATACTTTTATTAATATATAATTATTATGTTTAAGTTTGAGTTTTAATATTTAAAATTTATTATAATTTCTTAATTTATTATAATTATCAAAGGTTTTTGATTAGTTTAAAGACGGTGAACGGTCGACGGTGAAAAATAAGTGCTCCCTCTATCTTGTATTTCATGTCGACAAAACACGTAATTTTAAGAGATAAATTTGACCAAATTAGGTAAAGTATAATTTTTTTCATTTAAGTACCTAACTAAATTTATCTTTTTGGTCAGAATAAGTACTTAAAATATTTTACGTCAAAATAGGTATCTAAACTATCCAAACTTTTTAATCCAAGTTCTAAAAAAGTTGACATATAGAATTAACTAAAGTATGCTTTAGGTAATTAGATGAAAACAATTGAATACTTTAAGTATTTATTTTGATAAAAAAATAATTTAGGTACCTGTTTTTACAAAAAAAAATATAACTTTAGATACTTATTTTGATCAAAATTTCTTTAGATACTTAAAATAAAAAGAGGATATTATTTAGGTACTTAATTGTTATATAGTCATTTTTCAATAATGATGACGTAGCATTATCTTGTGGTGGTACACAACATCATTGTTAATTTTTTAACGGATGATGGCCAAAATAAAAATAAGTAATATTACTATCATTTTATATTGGTTCTTAACTTTTAAACATTTTAAATTCATCCCCGAACTATGACTATCATTCTAAATTGATCCATAAACTTTTAAACATTTCAAATTCACCCCCAAACTTTGTAACATCTCAATAACTTTCCCCTAAAACATTCGAAAGTTTGGGGATGAAATTAAAATATCCAAAAGTTTAGGGGTCAATTTACAATGAGGGTCATAGTTTGAGGATGAGTTCAGAATGTTTAAAATTTTAGAGACTAATTTATAACGAGAGTCGTGGTTTAGAGATGAAACTAGAATGTTAAAATATTTGGAGACTAATTTAGGATGAGGGTCTTGGTTTGAGGATGCATAGTGTAATTAACTCTAATTAAATTAAATACGTAATTAAGGTAACAAGAAGAGTATTCAATAAAGTAATATTAAAATATTATATTATTCTTGTCGGAAAAGGATTAAATATTTAGTGTTTTAGTAGGAGCTAAAGATGCGTGCGTATATAAGCAGGGGAAGCTAAGCATCAAGCATTCATATTCTCTTGATGATGCAGAGGGATTCTGGTTCATGGTACTCTTTCGATATATGGACGGGTCAACTTATACGAGATCGAATCCCACGAGACTTCGAGTTAGACATCAATAACTCTCGACTTTGCGGCCGGTTGCGTTACTGTAACGCTTTGCTCGATCTCCATCACGATTTTGATCCCACTAAATTCTGCAACATGCTTCACCAGAAGCTATTCGAGGACTCCGTTAATTTCACCCCGTGGGAACATGAAATCCCCAAAGATTTCAAGGTCGACACCGATTCCAAAATCTTTAATTACATCTAGTCAGCGAATAGAACTGATCGCAATAAGAACGTGGATAAGTTATTGATTGTTGCGGCATTCGGAGTGTTTAAGACGAACCGCGATACTGATCGTGAATATTACAACGATGACGATGACGGTGGGATCGACGGGGAAATCGGGTTCGTGCCGGCTACTAAGTCGAGCATCGAAGCGTTGGAGAAAGTTTCGGATTTAAGATTCGAGTTTGAGTGTGTGGTTTGCTTGGGAGATGAAAAGAAGCAAGCTAAACGTATTTACTAAATTGTTACTAAATTGTATTTACTTTAAATTAATAAAAAAATCATATAAAAATAGATAAAAACTCAATCAAACAATTTAAACAAATGATAATGCAAACAAACTAGAGAAATGGGATACTAAGGCTGCGGCTAACTGCTTCACGCTAATTATTTTTAATCTTCCAGAAACCCTACATTATCAAGGACTGCGGCTTATCTTTGACAATTATGGAGTAGTTGTCGATTCGTTCATCCCAAGCAAGAGAAGTAGAGGGGGAAGCAGGTTTGGCTTTGTCCGCTTTGCACGCTTGGAGGATGCCAGAAGAGCTATTGCCGGTCTTGATGGCTGTAGAATCCACAACTACGAAGTTCGAGTCTACATGACGAGATATCAAACAAGAAATGCTTTTTGAAGGAAGAAATCTAGTGTCGTTCAACCATCTGAAGTCAAGAGTAGGGAGGACGGTAGACTTCACCTAGCGGCTCCTGTTGAAGGCTTCATCCATGAAGATAAACTGCTGGTACTGAAAGACAGTCTTGTCGGATGGTGTAAGAGTTTCATGAAGATAAAAGACCTTGCAAAGTGGATGCATATGGATGGAATTCAAGGTCCGAAAATCTTGAGGTTAAGTGGGTTAGCAATTTTAATCATTTTCGAAGATGAATTCAGTAGGAATAAAGCTTTAAAGAACAATATATGCTAGCTGAAAAAATGGTTTGACAAGGTGGAGATATGGTCGGAGGAGACAGTGTGTCGAAGTCGGCGTGCATGGCTGTCTTGTAAAGGTATCCCGGCTTATGCATGGAGTCGAAAGACATTCCAAAGTATAGCAGGGAAATGGGGTGAGCTATATCTGTTGATGAGAGGACCTTCCTTGTTAACCTCGTGTCCATGAATCAATTGCTACTGAGTCTCCTTCTAAAGGTTCTAAATCCACGGGCGGTAGGGGTGAGGTGCCTTCCTTGTTGGATGTGAATCGTCAGCTCGAGGAGTGTCCTAACGCAGCCAAAGACCAGCTGGTCAAGGCACGTACCTTTTTGCCTGAAGAATATCTGCAGCCTTCAACGTCTGCAATTAGGAATGATGAAGATTGTCTAGCCATTAATGATGGTTCAAGTGGAGCCCCCATCTTGGACGTCTCTCCATGCATCTTTAATGCTATTTCTAATGGCAATAATTTAGAAAATGGAGTATATATATATATATATATATATATGAGAAAAAGATAGGCGACTAGGGTTTGGGAATAAAAGAGAACATAGTTTATTGAAATTTTCATATTTAATAGTTTCAATTCAAGTTAAATAATAGAGCAAACCATACGTTTAATATCTCAATTATAACTAATCGTTTTGGTCACTCAACTAGTAATTCTTTTAAAAATATAACTAACGTTATGTTTTAATTTTGTTCTGACCACTTGCAGTTAAAAAATAACAGTAATATTTTTTTTTAATTTTTTCAAGGCTTATATCACAATTAAGTACGTAAAATATACTTTTATTTCATTTAAGTACCTAACTAAAGTTATTTTTTTTTTGTCAAAATAAATACTTAAAATATTTTACGTCAAAATAGGTATCTAAACTATCCAAACTTTTTAATCCAAGTTCTAAAAAAGTTGACATATAGAATTAACTAAAGAATACTTTAGGTACTTAGATGAAAACAGTTGAATACTTTAAGTATTTATTTTGATCAAAAAATACTTTAGGTATTTGTTTTGACCAAAAAGATAACTTTAGATACTTATTTTGATCAAAAATACTTTAGGTGCTTAAATAAAAAAGAGCATTTACTTTAGGTACTGAATTGTTATATAAGTCCTTTTTCAATAATGATGACGTAGCATTATCTTGTGTGGTACATCAACATCATTGTTAATTTTTTAACGGTGGAGGATCAAAATAAAACTAAAACGTAACGTTAAGTATGATTCTAAAGCAAAAATAGTGAAGTGACTAAAACAGAATAAAGGTGATAGTTGATGTACTATACGTATAATTTACCCTAAATAATATTATATTAGGATAATTAAACACCATTCGTGTAGGAAAAGGACTCGTATTTAGTGTTTTAGTTGGAGTTAAATGTGTATGCATATAAAGAGGGGAGGCTTAAGCAATCTTCACCAAAACGATTGAAGAACAAAAAAGATAAGCATCAAGCATTGTTATTCTCTTGAAGATGCAGACGAATCCTGATTCATGGTACGCCGATGATCGGACTTCGAATTGGTACTTTTTCGATATATCGACGGGTGATCTTACGCAAGATCCAATCCCACAAGACTATGAGGAAGAGGCACATAACCCTCATCTTTGCGGCCGGTTTCGATACTGTCACGCTTTGATCGAGCGCCGTAACGACCTTGATCGTGGTAAAATCTGTGACATGTTTTACCGAAACCTGTTCGAGGAATCGGTTAAATTCGCCCCGTGGGAGCACGGAATCTCCGAAGAATTCAAGGACAACCGCCGTTCTGATATCTTGAACTATATCGACCGCACACTTAGGGCCGAACGCAACGTGAACGTGGACAAGTTCTTGATCACTGTGAAATTCGGAGTGTTTGTGACGAACCTTGATCTCAATCACGATTATTACAGCGCCGAGGGCGATATTGATGAGGAAATCGAGTTTGTTCCGGCTAGTAAGTCGAGCATCGATGGGTTGGAGATAGTTTTGGATTCGGGGTTCGAGTTTGAGTGTGCGGTTTGCCTCGAGAAGGGGAAGAAGGAAGCGAAACGAATGCCTTGTGGGCATGCGTTTCATGACCGATGTATTGAAAAGTGGCTAGAAAAGAGTTGCATGTGTCCAGTGTGTCGCTATATCTTGCCTTGTGATTCATGAATGTTTACGTCTTTATTAATTACTGTTATTGTATACTTTTCATCAATATACAATTAGGTTCGGTTTTTATTATATTTTAATTTGAAGGACCGACACTTATCATTTCGATTCAATTTGCTTCATTCGTAATGTTAAATTTGAACGAATAATTTTACTTAAAAGAGGGCATACTTATATATGTATATGTATATAGAGACGGCTACATGACTTATAATCTTAGAGATGGAGAATGATTCTGGTTCATGGTCCTGTTCAAATTATAGAACTTGGTATTGTTTCGATAAATGGATGGGAGAACTTGTGGAAAATCAAATCCCACATGACTACGAGGAGGAAGTCCATGACCCTCGATGTTGCGGTTGAGTTCGTTACTGTCATGCTTCGCTCGATCGTCGTAACGACCCCGATTCCACAGAACTCTGCAATATGTTTTGCCGGAACCTGTTCAAGGAATCCACTAAGTTCACCCCATGGGAGCACGAAATCCCCGAATGATTCAAAGTCTGCCGTGACTGGGAAATCTTTAGCTATATCGAGTCCATGTGCGGTGACGAACGCTACAAGAACATAAATCAGTTCTTGATTGCTGTGAAATTCGGGGTGTTTACGAGAGACAATGATCATGATTATAATGACGACGGTAGTGAGATCGAGGAGGAGGAGGAATTCGGGTCTGTCTCGGCTAATAAGTCGAGCATCGAAGCATCGGAGGAAGTTTCGGGTTTAAGTCGTGAGTTTGAGTATCCTGTTTCCCACGAAGAAGGGAAGATATAAACTCTGCATTTACCTTGTACTACATTATTATGTACTAAGCAAGCAAATATGATGATAGAACACTTTTTTATTCATGGAAGGTCTAATTTTTGCAGCCATAATATAGAAGTAAAACTACATTTTCTTTTACTTAACTTGCGGATAAAGTAAGGGATTGCAGATATCGAGATTTGATTCTTGAATCGGATTTTGGTTCGACTTCGAGGACGGTTTTAGACCGTATAGACGCCAATAAAGTCCACGGATGGAGATGTTATATATAGTGAACCCCGGAACTCCTGCACTTCACTGACTAAGTTGTTGCCATACCATTGTTCTAAATTTAATGTCTGAAGGACCCTGCCGGAGCCGTTGATCCGTTGGCCTATCGGCACCAATGTCTGCGTCGCTTGTTTTACCATCGCCGCCGCCTGCCAGTAGTCTCCGAGTAGGGTTCTCTGGATGTTTTTCGGCCTCACCTGGATGTTTACGATGTCGTAGGTGTCGGCTCTAGGACCCATGAGCCAAAACCTTATGGTATTGTTAGAATTGTAGTTGGAGACCAGAACATATGACCCATCTTGGCTAACTGCTACCCCTGCTGGCCCTGAGAGGTTCCTTAGCAACACTGTCACTCGCCTCGTGCTCGGGTTGTACATTAACAACCTCCCCGTTGAGTCCGTGGAATCGTTCGGCGCCAACCCTTTCGCAGCATCTCTACAACATGTTATTAATCGATGTAAATCCGCAAAACCGGAACAAAAACAGAATCGTGTATTGCGAAAGAAGAATGAACCTTAGATCATAGGCAGTGGTGTAATCAGAGAAAAAGACATTTCCGGATAGTTGGTGAACATCTATTCCCATGCAGTAGCGGTAAGGCACGCCCTCCGCACCAGTCGAGACTGGAGCAGCTAGTCGTCCACCGGAACCTAACACCATGAGACCAATGTATCCATCACAAATGTAGAGCTGATTCGTTGCGTAATGGAGGCCTAAGCCGAACGGTCTTCCGCACGCTCGCCCCAAATCCGGATCAGTAACTCCATCACACAATGCCTTAGACCTGTTCCGACCGGTAAACCCGTGCTCCGCGAATCCATTCAGTCCGTTGTATTGTAGAATCCTACCGTCAGCTACACCGACATAGAACCGTCCGGTCGCCAGCTCGAAGGCAATGGATTGGGGACCCGTAGCGGCCGGTGGCAATGGAATCGTTCGGAAAATTTCGCAACGGAACACAGAAGGAAAACAGGAAACAAAGAAGGAAAGCAAGAACATGATTAGCATGTTAATGTAAGCCATATTAGATAAAAGCAACAAGTTTATGCCTATTTTGTGTGAAATTGTTAGTATTTATAAGCATAGGAAAGGTATAAAAGGCTAACCAAAGTGAGATGTAACGCTTATGATCATGATATTTAACACTCGTTGAATGAGAAAAAATGTGAAGGCACGAAAGGATGCCGTTAATTATAAAGTTCGGTATGCAATTCTGGAGTTTATCGAAAAGCTGAACATTAACTCATAAAATAAATCCAATGTAGCCATTTGACCAACGTTTTTCGCTGTTGATCGTTACAATGCTGATGTGGTAGTCTACGATGCTGACATGACAGTTCAGGGTGACGGATGACTTGGCAGATTAACTACATTAGTAACTCAAATATGATAGATGCATTGCCATTTCAGCATCATGAACTAGCACGCTAGTATTAAAATAGTCAACGACAAAAAACATTGGTAAAAGAATTACATTGGATTTATTTTCTGAGTTGGAGAGTCACATTAAGGAAAAAAATAATACGATTGCCACATTAATTTCTTTTTAAAAGTACAGGGACGTCTTATGTCTTTTTGCCAATATTTTTATATATAATTTCAAAATTATCTTTAATATTTTATTAAAGAGTTATTTTATTATTTTAACACTTTAACTATTTTTACATTTTGTTTTTTTTAAATAACTCTTTTTTTTATATAAAATCATCAATTAGTTTATTTTTAAGGTCACGTTTACTTAATTATTAATGTAATAGATATCGATTATTATTTTTCCTGACATGATATATCACATCAAATATTCTTTAAGCGCTTAAAGAAGAATAGAGAAGGACCCACCAAGGTACATGTTTAAGAATTACCCAGCTAGGTAGAACTCAAGGCTCTTAATCTTGTGGTCGTGGAATCGAGTCTCACTCAGGGCAATTCATAACGGAGGTCTTCCACGGAAGCTGCTCTCAACCTAACGTTGGGGGCAGCCTACTATCTTACCTCCTCCTTACCCCATTACATATGGGAATAGGGTCAGCTAATTTTTACTTTTAGGTATAAAAATTTGCATCCGACTCTACTCGATTCTATATAAATATAAACAAATATTTTTATTTAATAAAATAAGGATCTAATTAAAATTAAAGAGATTTGTATTATATCAATTATCCTTAAAAATATAAAAAGTAGCGGTTTAGGGCAGAGAAAATAAGATCAAATTTCGTCATTCACGGTTTATTTTTTAATTTATGGATCAAAGAGTTAATATATTATTAACATGATATTTACATATATATGTTAATTTATTGGTGTAGTGTGCATCGTATTATCAAGTAATGATAAAATATATATTACGTCATCCAAAATGATGATGTGATATACATTATGTCACATAAGATAATGCTATTTCACGTGTTACCCCATTTAATATAATGAAGTAAAATGTATCAAATCACTCAAGAAGATAGCATAATATATAATATATAGCACATAACATGTGACACATAAACAATTAAGCGTATGGAAAAATATCACGTCAATCAGAGGTAGATGTATTTAGCCGTCAAGGAGACCAAGTGTATACCTATTATTTTATTTAAGTAATTAAATATAGTTCAATATTTTAGGGGAGTGAGAAAAAAATAAGAAACGTTTCATATTCGTTTTACTGGAAAATAAAAGTATTAAAATTTTTAGTCCTCTATTTCTAAATTTCTAGATTCAGCACTGAAATCAATAATATATATATATATATTATTAATTATATATTATTAATTAAGTAATTATTTTTATTTAATAAGAGTTATTTTGACTAAAAAATTAAATAGTTAAACGGCAAAGAATTATATAAAAGAATATGAGTAAAAATGATCATTCGAGTAAATATTGAGGGATTAATTTTGATAGTATACCAATAAGATATAGGATAACCTATGTGTTTAGTACCTACACTAACAGTTTTATTCCATTTAGTATTTAAACTTTTAAAAATTTCAAAACAATATCTAATGTTTAGTTTTTGTTTCATTTTAGTACCCGCAGTTAAAAACTTAACGTATCTAGTACATAAACTATCAATTTTGGTCCGTTTTAGTACCTAAACTTTCATTTTTTTCAAAACTTAACATTAAGTTTTTAACGGCATACTAAAATAAAATAAAAACTAAACTTTAAGGTTTGGTTTTGAAAAAATTGATAGATTAGGTACTAAACGCATAATTTATCCTAAGATATATTGAAGGAAGAAATAAAAATAGGAAATTAACAGACGTTATATCGTAAGCCGAACTGGCGTCGGTGAAGTAGACATTTCCGGTCGGTTGATGGACGTAGACTGCGTTGCAGAAGCGGAAAGGTTCCGCATCAGCAGCGGTGGAAAGTGGCGTTACAAAACCTCCTTTAGGACCCAACACTCCGAATCCGTGAAACGCGTCGCAAACGTACAGCCGTTTCGTCCGATGGTGCAACGCCATCCCTAACGGCCTCCCACAGATCGGATTTGGCTTCAAGATGTCCTTGCCGTCGCACACGCATTTTGACCTAACACAAATTATGTCACATTCAGCACCATTCTACAACATACCTATATGAATTTTTATACTAATATGCAAAAGATGATATACGGGTTAGAAGTTCGAATATTTTTTGTGAATCGTTTGTTTATTAAGTTAAACAAACAACACTCTATAGTCGAAGAACTCAACAAAACAACACTCTATAGTCGAAAGACTATTTTGTAACTTTTAATAATTGAAAAACTTAATAAAACACTATCATGTAATGGATACCATTTGTATACTCTACCAAAACGAAAATGACCGTGCTTTTTCGTGTTCTTCTATGATATGAAAACACGTGCACGACCCCGATTTTATTTCTTTTTGCATGTGTTTTATTGTAGGCATTATAAGAAACATGAGTAGGGGGTGTTACTAATCGGAGTTTGAATAAATAAGATTGTATTATTAATTTTTTAAGATGTTTATGTTCGTATTAGTTTCTTTTATATGTTTGGATTCTCCTCGGCAACCAACCATCCCTTTATATTTTATTAAGTTACACTTGGTTCGTGCTTTAAATTTAGTTGTAATTTTTATATTTTATGTTCGAATATTGTTTTATTAAGTCTCTTGACTATTAAAAGTTATAAAATAATCCTCCAATTATATAGTGTTGCTTTGTTGAGTCCCTCGACTATTAAAAGTTATAAAATGGTCACCGACTATTTATTATGTTCAAACTTATCATTTTCGTTTAAAAAATTGGCGATTGTCTAAGTTGAACGTTAACATGATGACTGAGATATGATAATCGTCAATTATATAAAAAAATGATGAATTTGGAACATATGAATAGTCGGATGACCATTTTGTAATTTAATATTCGAGTGACTCAACAAGGAATGCCCTATAATGAAAGGACTATTTTGTAACTTTTAAATAGTTGGGGGACTGTTTGTGTATTTTACCCTCTTTTTAACATCATCAGCTTCAGGATTACTTCAACGCCGAAGAACGCCAACGAAATCCACCAGCCGTGATGCTATATAAAGCTGGGAACCATACTCTTGAACTTCACTCACTGATTTATTACCATACCATGGCTCAAGGTTAACTGTTTGTAAGACATTCCCATTTCCATTGATCCTTTGTCCTATAGGCAACAAACTCGACTTTGTTACTGGATCCACCCTTGCTGCTGCTAACCAGAAATTGTCGAATCTCGTCGTCTTGATGTTGCCCGGCGTCGGCTGAGAGCTTACGATTTCGGACTCGAAAGGTCTACGGCCCCGGAGCCGAATCTTTCGAGTCCTGTTGGCAGTGAACTCGGTAACCAGTGCGAATCTCTCTTCTTCGTCGACTGATACCCCTGCTGCACTCGAAAGATTCCTGAACAACACTGTCACTTGCTCGGTTTTTACGTCGTACTTCAACAGCCTCCCTGTTGAATCTTTAACACTTATTGCAGTTTGGAGCTCTCTACAAGATGAGAGACAGTTGTTCTTTAGTTCGTCTCGAAATACTAATGTCAAATTATAAGATTGTGGTCGTGTTTTTAATCGTGTTGCACTAATCGTGATTTATGAATATAACGGATATTATTATGGTGATTACGAGTAGGGATGGGCATGGGTCGGGTTTTTTGTCCACCCGACCCAATCCGAGAACAAGGAGTCCTCCACCCGAAACCCGACCGAAACAAGTTTTTACCCGACCGGAATCCGACCCGATATATAACTTAAAAACCCGACCCGATTCAACCAGAAAAAATAAAAAATTATTTTTATTCAATAAAAATAATGACTTAATTGAAAAAATAATAATATATAAAGGGGTATTCTTATAATTATTCCTAAATATTTAAGGTACAATTATATATTTTTTCGGTTGGATCGGGTCAGATATTTTTCACCCTAAACCCGAACCCGACCCGAACTTCAGATTAAAAAGAAACTTGACCCGAACCCTTTTTTTAAAAACCCGATCTGATTGGGTCGGATCAGAACCCATCGAATTCGGATCCCATGCCCATCTCTAATTACGAGTATCACGGTTATTTAATAACGATTCTAAACAACATCGCAGCTGGTGTTATTGCGGTAGCGGACGGTTATTTTGTTAGACAAAAATTATTTTATAAAATGAAGAATCCGAAAGAGGCGGACCTTATACCATAAACAGAACTGGCATCAGCGAAGTAGACATTTCCAGTTTGTTGATGGACGTGGACAGCATTGCAAAAACGGTAAGGCTCGCCGTCCGCGGCGGTGGAAAGTATGGTTACCAATCCTCCTCCCGGACCCAACACTCCGAACCCATAAAACACATCACAGACATACAACCTTCTCGTCCGGGATTGCAATGCCATTCCAAATACCCTTCCACAAACTGGGTTCGGATTCGAAGCGCTTGTGCCATCGCATACCGATTTCGACCTATAAAAAATGTAAAGCGTCACTATGAATGTTCATTGTTTTGTTTTAACCGAATTAACCGATTAAATCGAAACGTAGAATTCACCGGTTAGGAGAAGAGAATCCGAAATCGACAAAGCCAGAGGCCGGACCCTGATATTTTAGAATTCGACCGTCGGCTACACCGGTGTAGAACGTTCCGGTACCCAACTCGAAAGCCAGCGCCTCAGGGCCCGTCGCATTTGCAGGCAGTTGAATCTTGTTAAAGGAAATTGCTGAAATAAGCGCCGAAAGGGAACAAAAGTGGAAGATGAGAGTGAAGAAAATGTGCGACATTACGTGGTTTCTTGCTGTTTCCAATCAATATTTATCTTCGTTTGATGCTAATAAGCTTCACCTATTTATAAGGGACCTGTTACATAGGTTTGGCGATGCCTATTTATCATATTTGTATCCGATCACCATATCAACGGATCAGATCGATCGAATCAGATCTTTTTACACATCTCTATGCAATTAAAATTTAAATCATGACAAATTTAAATCAATTTTATAAATGATGGATTGTAATACTCGATTTTAAGGAGTTTAATTTTTTTTTGAAGAAATCATATTCATATAATATGTATTTACATGGTAAAATTTCGATCATTAATAAAAAATACAAAAAAAATCTAAAATGTATAATAATTTAAAATTTTTAGAAAAAACGATTATCTGGATCACTCCCTTCGATTTATGTCTATTCACGGTTAATGAAAAGTTATTAAGTTAACCTTTTTATTTAATTTTAAAATTTTTATGAAATTATATTGTACCTAATTATTTAATGGAAATATATTGTACTTTACCTAATTATTTAAAGAAAAGGGTTATTTTAGCCCAATAATTATGGTGGATAAATTTATTCAAAAGTCTATTTTCGTAACTATGGTATTTACTACAGCGAATGGTGAATTTGTCATATGAAGGTGACGAATTTTAAAAAATATTTTTATTCAAACTCGTCATGTGGACGTGACGAGTTTTGAAAAAAAAATATTTTTTTATTAAAATATGATATATTTAAATAACAAGTTTCTATAAAAAATATATTTTATTGAAACTCGTCATAGTGACGAATATCATAAATTACTAATTAGTTTTTAATCAACCTAAAAGCTTAAATAATTATTACACCAACATTAAATGGCTGTTGCCAAAGAAAAGTTAGGTGAAGAATGAAAAATGCTATTCTACCATATTTATTATTCTCCTTTTTTTCACCAAAAATTTATCATTTACTTACAAAATTTTATATTAATATATATGAAATTAAGTTTCGAAGAATTTAAATCATTTTGTCTTTGGATAAGGTAAAATATATTTTTTATTTTGAATGTTAATAAACAATTGAAACAACATGGTGGTTATTCCTCGTAGCAATTGGATTAGCAAAGCTTGGCCAGAATGGCATTAGAGAGCAGGGATGAGCACAGAATCCGACGGGTTCTGACTCGTTTTGACCCTATTAGGTCGATCTTTTTATTAAAAAAAAAAAGTTCGGGTCAGGTTTAGGTTTAGATGTGGCCGTCAACAACGTTAATCTCCTTCGTTAAGTGACACGTGTCACAATATGATAATTTTGAAGTTTATTTTTTTTAAATATTAAAATATTATTATATTTATTAAAAAAACTAATTTCTCTTAAATTACAAAAAACCCTCAAAATCTCCAAATCGTAAAAAACTTTGAAAACTTGATGTCAGTTTTCGACAATTACAGGAAGCTCAGGGACCTAAGTTGAAATTATCTCATCAGTCTTTAACTTTGAAAAATATATAAGGTTTGGTGGGATTGAACCCGTGACCTGGAAGAATGAATGATACCTCAAGCCTTACTGTTTAAGCTAGGGCACTGTTCTAGTATATTTTATATAAAAATATGTTTTCTAGTTACTTAGCCTGGATTTTAAATTCCAGATGATTTCTTTCTTATTGGATTGGAACCAAACTTAAAAAAAAATAATTAGGAAAGGTTTCCCAAGCTCATCGCTCCTCCGTTCAATGATCTCCGACCGGATCAAAATCCCTCTGCAAATTTGTTGAAAGTCGATGTCGTTCGTCGTGAATAAGTGATTTTTTGCTCGTCAAAAACCCAAAATCGTCATTTTCTTTTCCTTACGATTTTGTCCACCACAGACTATCGTAGGCCCCTACACTACCATCATTCGACTCATCGTCTCACGCCGAGCAAAACCTGACTGGTCTCTCTCCGTTTAAACCCACCGTTTGTTGTGAATCAACCGAGAAAGCCTTGTCATAAAGCTTCACCCGTCATCATGGTTTTTACAATTTTCGTGTCGATTCCTTCATCGGTTGGCCTCACCACCACCGCCATCAGGGTCTCCACTCAGTTCTGACCATAACTCAACCGATATCGTTCTCTCATGTCGTCGTTTTCTCCATCCGCCATTAGGGTAAGCTTCAGTTGTTTTTCTATTTAATTTTCATCGAGTTTTGGTTGATTTCTAGACTGATCTGAGTTGTTTGTGATGTTTGGTTGCCCTCGGAGTGTTCGGCCGCCGTCACTGCCCCTGTCACCAGTCACACGCATCGCCACGCACAATCATTCATATTGAACTCCTAGATCCTAGGGGTCTAGGGTAAGTCCTTATGGATGCCTATTCTAGGGTACTGCATTTAGTGTGCGGTTGGAGGGAAACTCTATATTTTAAATAAAAACCCAACTTCTGATTTATCTTTTTTTATATTACTAGCTCTATATGAAACTGTTTTATTGAGGTAATGATTGGGTAGGATTATGAAGTCTATGAGGTTCGGCTAGCTGGTAAATCCTTTATGTTTTGATCATTCATATTGGACTCCTAGATCTTAAAGGTCTAGGGTAAGTCCTTATGGATGATGTCTTGGGGAATTTCACATGAAGTATTCGTCTGGAGAGTACTATAGTGATTTTAAAAACATGTTTTGCTGAAATAACTACTACTTTTTTTAACCAGGATTACATTTTAGTCTGGTTTTGAAGGAACACACTAGACATTGTTTCAATATCTTGAACCTAGTCTTCTGAATGTTTCCTCTGAGGTATAAGCTACTTGTCTGTTATCCGAAGAATATCAGTGGAACCTCAGCTCATCAAGGAAACATGTAGATACCTGAACCAATGAGAAAATTTTAAATGCTTGCTAATTATCTGCATGTCTTTCAACATCTTTTGGTAGTTATGTATTACTGAGCTTCCCAAAGCTCACTCTTTTACTCACTATTTCAAGTTAAAAGAACAAATTCAGTTCAATTATCGACATCAGTAATGGGAGTTCCTTCGGCTTTGTTTGCAGAGTACGGTGCAAGTGTAATTAGGGGGCATGTAGGTCATATTTTATTTTTTTATACTGAGTATGGAACTTGTACAATTTTAATTTTGTTTGTAATATATGAATGGTTTTCTGAACTTGTATTTTAATTAAAAATTATTTTATGATTTTACAAGTTTTAACAAAAAAATTTAATTTATGTTGGATTTTTACTGTGGGTCACTCCGGTGACCCGAATGTGACACCTCAGATTGGATCGGGTCACTCGTATCGGTCTAAGGGTGTTACAATTACCTTCGACGTAGTCCCTTCCATCCTCCTAATCATACGCTGTCGTAGTTGTTGTCGTTTGATCGTCAGAATTGCAATTTTCATCCTAGGGTTCGCAGGGTACAAAACGTCGATTCAACATCGATCGGTCAGCGATCAATCATGATTTCATTGGGGTTTTGGTCATCGATGGAGGTGAGGTCAGGTGGAGCTTCGTCGACGACAAAGGGTGGTGCCCGACGTAAGTTTAGGGGTTGAAATGAAAGTTTTCAAAGTTTTGGGTTATTTTGAAATTTCTTTGTTTTTTTAAATATAATTTCCATTTTTTAATTTTAAATTAAAATTTTAAAATTACCATGTTGTAACATGTGTCACTTAAAGGAAAAAATTAACACCGTTGATGACCCGAACACCTAAAGTGGCAACTTTTGTAACGTCAAGCACTGAGATCATTCAAAAAATAGTTTAGGCACCTATTCCTGAAAAACACTATAATTTGGGTACTTATTTTATAATTAAGCCTTTATAAATTGAAAAAAAAGTCTGAGTAACTTGTATCATGACAACTTCATTACATGATGGAGAGAAAGGGCTGCCATGGAAACCTACTTTTATTTTGCTGCCACTTTCTTTTTATTGTCACCAGTTTGAGTATTACTTCAAAAGAACACCAACGAAATCCACCAGCCGTGATGCTATATAAAGCTTGGAAGCATACTCTTGAACTTCACTCACTGATTTATTACCATACCATGGCTCAAGGTTAACTGTTTGTAAGACATTCCCATTTCCATTGATCCTTTGTCCTATAGGCAACAAACTCGATTTTGTTACTGGATCCACCCTTGCTGCTGCTAACCAGAAATTGTCGAATCTCGTGCTCTTGATGTTATCCGGCGTCGGCTGAGTGTTTACGATTTCGGACTCCAAAGGTCGACGGCCTCGGAGCCGAATTTTTCGAGTCTTGTTCGCAATGAACTCGGAAACCAGGGCGAATCTCTCGTTTTCATCAACCGATACCCCTGCTGCACCCGAAAGATTCCTGAATAACACTGTCACCTGCTCGGTTCTTACGTCGTACTTCAACAGCCTCCCTGTTGAATCTTTAACACTTATTGCAGTTTCCAGCTCTCTACAAGATGAGAGAAACAGATGTTAATGTTAGATAAATATCATACATTAATATTATTTAGGTTAACATTTGGATTGTTACGGTTATAGATGATTCATCCCTTCTAATTTTAGAAAAAGAGTTGCACACGATCATTCATAATAGTATTACATAGAGTCAATGTTGTACAATTTAGAAGGTCTAAAGAGAAAAAGAACTAAAGAAGAAAAGGAAGTGTCATCTTCGGTATTAATTGATTTTATAGTGATTTTTATTGTAGTGTTGGACTTGAGTCTCGTTTGATGTGGCTTTTAAAAAGTATTTTCAGTTGAAAAGTCTGTTTTAACCGTAAAATCGACCTCAAACAAGTAAAAATGAAAAAAATACGGTAAAAACGGTGAATTCAACCAATCGCAAAAGCTCATATTTGTAGCTTTTGTATTTTCAACTTTGGGTTTTGAATCAAATTATAATTTTACCATATATGAGCTCTACTAAATTATGTATATATATTTTATTTTAATAATTTAATATTGACATTATTAAAAAATAATTTATTACTTAATAATTTATTTAATTACTTAAAAATAAATAAAATTCATTATTTATATATTAAAATATTAATAACGAGTTATTATAAAATA